AAAAAAAAAAAAACAATAAAAACCCGAAATTTTTTTAACCATCACCGGCGTCTGTTGGGGCTCAATGGAGGGGGCGGGGCCTCAATGGAGGGGGTGGGGCTTAGGGCGAGGGGGCGGACCTTGGAGTGGGGGTCAAGTTCAATGGAGAGGTGTGGATTAGGCACAAGGGGCGTGGCTTAGGAGGAAATAAATCATTGATGGGGCAGGGCTTAGGAAAGGGGGTGGGGCTTGGGGCAGGGTTAGGGCTCAGGGCTCAGGGCGGTACTTCCGGCGCGGCACTTCCGGCGGGACGGGCCCGTGATGGCGGCGGGCCGCGGGTGGCGGCGCCGGGCGCTGCGGCTGCTCACGGCGGGCGGCGGCGTCCTGCTCACCCGCTTCCCCTTCTGGCACTGCTTCAGCGGCCTCCTGCTCTGCGCGGAGCGCGCCGACCTGCGCCGGTGCGGGGCAGGGCGGGGTGGGGAGAAGGGAGGGGATAAACCTGAGGGGGCTGCGGGGTCTGGGAGTGGTTGTGGGGCTGGGAGGGTCTGGGGGTGGTTGTGGGGCTGGGAGGGTCTGGGGGTGGTTGTGGGGTCTGGGAGTGGTTGTGGGGGTCCCGGTGCTGTGAGGGCCTGGGGGTGATTCTGGGGCTGGTGTGGGGCTAGGAGGGTCCGGGGCTGGTTGTGGGGTTTGGGGCTGATGGGGGACTTTGGCGGGCTGGGGGTGACTGTGGGGTGTGGGGCCCTGAGGGTCTGGAGGAGAGCCCCGGGGATCTGGGACTGGTGTGGGGCTGAGGGGCCTGGAGGGGGCTTGGGGCTGATATGGGGCTCTGTAGGGTCAGGGGAGGGTCCTGGCAGAGTTGGGGAGTGAGGGAGAGTTTGGGGTGTCTGGAGAGTTTGGGGGGCTGGGGAAGGGTTTTGGCAGAATTATGACCTAGGGGAGGGTTTGGGGGGTCTGGGGTGAGCCTGGGGGTGCCCAGCCTGCCCAGGAGCACTGGGCACACCCTGGAGCTGCCATGCCCACAGGAAGCCGGACATCCCAGTGCCCTACCTGTATGTGGACATGGGGGTGGCCGTGCTCTGTGCCAGCTTCATGTCCTTCGGGGTGAAGCGGCGCTGGTTCGCCCTGGGGGCCGCCCTGCAGCTCGCTGTGGCCACCTACGCCGCCCACATTGGGGGGCACGTGCACTATGGCGACTGGCTGAAGGTGAGAGCCCCTCCGTGGGCCGTGACAGACCCCCCAGAGCCCGGGGGGGTGCGGGGACGGTGACGGTGACCCCCCCCAGGTGCGGATGTACTCCCGGACCATCGCCATCATCGGTGGGTTCCTCATCCTGGCCAGTGGCGCTGGGGAGCTGTACCGGCAGAAACCGCGGAGCCGCTCCCTGCAGTCCACAGGCCAAGTGTTCCTGGGCATCTACCTCATCTGCCAGGTACAAGGGACACATCCCTGCCCCGCTGCTGCTTGGGGGATGGAGCCACAATTCCCTGGGGAGAAACCTCCTGGGGTGGGTGTTTCCAGTGCCACCACGCCCCAGCCCCGAATTGTCCCTGAGAGAAGCTCAGGTGGGTGTTACCAGTGGTACCAGTGCCCCACACCCCAGACCCGCGTTGTCCCTGGGAGAAGCTCAGGTGGGTGTTCCCAGTGCCACCAGTGGCACCATTTTCCCCCATTGTCCCTGCGGTAGGAGCCTTGAGTGAGTGTTCCCAGTGCCACCAGTGGCACTTTGCCCCCTGTTGTCCCTGGGGAAGAAGCCTTGGATGAGTGTTGCCAGTGCCACCACTGGTACCAGTGCTACCAGTGCCACCACTGGTACCAGTGCTACCAGTGCCACCACTGGCACCAGTGCCACTGCACTCCACTTCCCCCATTGTCCCTGAGGGAGAAGCGTTGGACAAGCATTTCCAGTGCCACCATTGGCACCAGTGCCACCCCCCATTACCCCTGGGGTACACCCCTCACTGTGAGTGTCCCCAGTGCCACCCCACTCCCCCCTTTGCCCCACCAGGCCTACTCCCTGCAGCACAGCACCGAGGACCGCCTGGCCTACCTGGACCATCTGCTGGGAGGGGAGCTGGCCCTGCAGCTGCTCTTCCTGCTCTATGGGCTGCTGGCCCTGGCATTCCTGTCGGGATACTACGTGCGGGCAGCTGCCCAGGTGCTGGCAGTGCTGCTGCCCCTCGCCATCCTGCTCATTGATGGCAACCTGGGCTACTGGCACGCTGCCCGCCGCGTCGAGTTCTGGAACCAGATGAAGCTCATCGGCCAGAATGTCGGCATTTTCGGGGCTGTGGTGATCCTGGCCACCGATGGATGAGCGGGAAAACTGCAAGAAAGGGGAGTGAGAGGGGCGGGGTGTTTTTTTTAAGGATTGCCGCTATTTATTCATTGGTTTTTTTTGTTTGTTTGTTTGTTTGTAAATACTGTATTTGATAATTTTGGCAGAGGTCAGGGCTCCTGAGGGGGTGTGGGGGGGTCCTTCCTGGGGGGTGCCAGCCACTGTGTGGCCACAGCCCCTCTCCCCGCTGAGGGGTGTCACTGCCCCCCCCCCAAAAAAGTGTATTTTTACTGATGAAAGGAGAAGTCTTTTATGTCATTTCCCCGGGGGAGCTTGGCTGTTGTGTGACAAAGGGTGGGGCGCTGCAGCTTTGAGGGGTTTGAAGGGAAAACTGCTTGGGGGGGCTTGGAAGGGGAGCTGCTTTTGGGGAGGATGCTTTTGGAGGGCTTGGAGGGAGCTGCTTTTGGGGGAAACTGCTTCAGGGGGAACCACTTTTGGAGGTTTGGGGAAGATGCTTTTGAGGGGCTTGCAGGGGGGAGCTGATTCAGGGGAATCCACTTTTGGGAGGTTTGGGGCAAACTGCTTTGAGAGGAGCTGCTTTTGGGGGGCTTTGGGGGGAACTGCAATATGGGGAGAAGCTTTTGGAGGCCTTGGGGGGGACTTCAATATGGGCAGATGCTTTTGGGGGCCTTGGAATTGGGGGAGCTGCTTTAGGGGAGCCACTTTGGGGGCTTGGAGGAGGGGGCTGCATCAGGGAAGCTGTTCTTTGGGGTCTTCAGGCAAGGTGCTCTGGGGGGCTTGGAGTGGAGCTACTTTTGGGGGGAGCTGCTGTGGGCAGAGAAGTTTTGGGAGTTTGAAGGGGGAGCTGCTTTGGGGGGCTCAGAGGGGAGAGAAGCTACTTGAGGGGCTTGAGGGGGAGCCAGTGTGAGTGATACTGGGTGTTCCCCTCCCTTCAGTGGGGAAACTTGGGTGGGGGGGCGAGGGGGTCCCAGGCCGGGTGCCCTGCCCGTGCCCACCTGGGTTGCTCAGCTGGTGGGTTATGAGTGTTCTGGCACGGGGTGGGGGGGCCCGATTGGCAACCCCCAAGGTCCCCACGGGCTGTGTCCTCGCTGCCCCCATCCTGTCACCTGGCTGGGCAGGTGTCCATCCCCCCTCCCCTCTCCGGAAAAGCAAACAGGGCTGATAAGGGGCTTCCTCCGGGGTGGGGGGAGCCCGGGGGGGCCCTAATGCGCCTCCGGCGGAACCAGGGCCATAAAGCGCGGGGAAGCGGCAGAGCCCTGTTTGCTCGGGGTGGGGGGGCACTGGGGCTCCTCACCCTCCCAGGACCCCCCCCCGGGACTGCAGCCACGCACCTTCACCCTCAGACCCTCCTCATCCTCCTCAATGCCCAGTGGAGAGATGGGGGGGCTCCCCTGCCCTGTCCCCTTCGGGGTCCCACCTCTGCTGAGGGAGCCCCTCCACCACCTCTATGTCCACCCCCTTCTGCTGGCAGAGCCATCCTGTGACCTTTGGAAAATGGCTGTTTACCGTCACTCGGAATAAATGGGGCAGAAAGTCCTCGTGTCCCTTCCCCGACCCCCCCCCCCGGGGGGCTGGGGGCCACCCGCACCCCGATATCTCCCCTGACCGCGGCTCGGGGACGTCTGTGACACAACGCGGTGACATTGCCGCTGTGGTGGGGGTCGGTGGGACTGTGGGGGTGGTGTGTGTCCTCCCCGAACGCCAGGATGGCTGAGACCCTTCCCTCGGGGCTCTCGTCTGCTGGGCAGATCCAGCCCCGCTGCCTCAGTTTCTCTGCACACGTGTCAGGACGCTGCGGGGGGTCCGGAGCCCCCTCAATCCAATCAGCCCCGCATCGACCGCGGGGACGTGAAAGGTGCCGGCCTGGGGGGGCTGCGGGGGCTGGGGGGGCTCAGCTCCCCCCCTCACCCCAGGCTGCCGTAAGCCCGGCACCGCCCGCCCGGGGCAGCGTGGACCCCCCGCCTGTGTCCCCGCACACTGGTGCGTGTCACACCGCGGCCACGCCACGGGGGTGATCTCCCCCCGGGGCTGGGACCCCCGCGGTGGACTGCCATCAGCCGTGTCCCTGCCGCCGCTCGCTGGGGTGGCGACCGGGGCAGGAGTGGGGAGCGTGTCCCCTCCGGCCGGGACTGGCACCCCGCGGGGTCCCGTGTGCCACGTCCCCTCCAGCCGGGCTGGTGGCGCCCTGCAGGGTCCTCACTTAACCATGTCCCCACCATGCGGAACGGTGGCACCCCGCGGGGTCCCCAGGAACTTTGTCACCTCCAATCGGAGCAGTGGTGCGACACTGAGCCATGGTGCACACAAGCCGTGTCCCCTCTATCTGGGCCGGTGTCACCCCGCAGTGCCCCCCCGAGCTGTGTCCCCTCTTTCTGGGCCGTTGTCACTCCGCAGTATCCCCTGCGGAGACGATCCGTGTCCCTTCCATCCCACCGGCTGGAGATGCGGCTGCATCTGGCTGGGACCATCCCGACGTTTTTGGGGACCCCCTTCTGCCACCTCTCCCCATCCCAGCACCCACAGGGTGGCTTTGGTGGTCTCTGCCCAGTGGGCACCTTCCCACCGGGTCCCTCCGTGCCTCAGTTTCCCCAGGAGCTGGTGATTGCTCCTTAATGGCAAATCCATACGGGATTAGTGTTCCCGGTGCTAGAGGCTGGAAAGGGCACCTCATCCGTCCTGGGGGTGGTGACAGGGATCGATGGCGCTGACAGCGGCTGTGGTGGCGGGGGCTGTGGTGACAAGGACTTCGTGCCCCGTCTGGGGAAACTGAGGCAGCCGCGGCTTTGGGCTGGGACTGTCCCCTGCCCTGTCCCCCGTGGGCGGCTTTTGCCAGGGCCGTGGGTGGTGTCCCATGTGCTATGTCGTGGCTGTACTGTGTTTGTGTCCCTGGGTGTGGCTGATGTTCCTGTGTCACACTGTCACATCCCGAGACTGTCTTGGGGAGAGATGTGTGTGCCGTGGCTGTGTGTGACATATGTGTCCCTGTGCCATGGCTGTGTCACTTTTGTGCCCAGTTGCTGTAGCTGTATGTCACATCTATGTCCATGTGCCATGTTCATGTGCCAGGCCTGCCTGTCGTGTCTGTGTTCATGTGCCATGCTTGCATGTCACCTCTGTGTTCATGTCCTATGCCATGGTTGTGTCACATCTGTGTCCATGTCCCGTGTCCTTGTGCCATGGCTGCCTGTCACTTCTGTGTCCTTATGATATTCAAGAGCCCTGGCTACGTCACATCCATGTCTATGTCCCATGCCCATGTGCCAAAGTTGTATGTCACATCTGTGCCATGGCTGCACATGACATGTGTGCCTGTGTGCCATGGCTGCCTGTCACACCTGTGTCCACGCACCATGGTTGTGTGTCACATCTGTGTCTGTGTCCCGTGTCCTTGTGCCATGGCTGCCTGTCACCTCTGTGCCCGTGTGCCCCGGCTACATGTCACACCTGTACCTGTGTGCCATGTTCATGTGCCCTGGTGACATGTCACATCTGTGTCCGTGTCCTGCGCCCATCTGGCATTGCCACATCTGTGTCCTCTGACTGCGCTCGTGTCCCCATGTTCCCATATCTCTGTGTCCCATCTATGCCCCCCATGCTCTGTCCTCCCCAGCCCCTCGGGGTCCCAGGCTGGGGTGCTCTGCCAAGGGATGGTGACAAGGTGCTGGCCGGGGGTGGTAGCGGGGGGGTCGCCAGGGTCCTGCGTGCCCATGGGTTGGTCACGCATGAGGGAGGAGCCAGGAGCCCCCTCCGAGGCTATAAAACCCTGGGCGGGTCGGGGAGCTGCCGTGTGCCTGGCACTGTCACCCCACTGCCAGGCCCTGCCTGTCACCTCTGCCACTGCCATCGTGAGTGCGGGGACAGGACTGAGGTCCTGGGGGGTCCCTGAGGGGAGGCTGGGATCGCAGGGAGGGAGAATCACCCCCCTCCCTTGGGGACATGTGGTGTCCCTTATGGGGAGGTGTCCCTTGGGGTGGACATGGGCCTCTGGGGTCCTTTTGGATGGGACAGCCCCTTTGGGACACTGTGGGGGGCTCTGGGACATAAGAGGGTCCCTGGAGGGAAGCAGTCTCTTGAGTGGGGCTGGAGTCCCAGGTGGTGGAGGGACACATCCCTTTGGGGGACAGGGGGGCGTCCTGGGGGTGTGACATTCCCATAGGGGTTGGGGTCCTTGGGGGTGAGATATCTCGGGGGAATGGGGGTTTGGTGGGGGACAGAGCAGGGTTGGGGGCACCCAAAGGTGATGGGGATAGCTGAGGGTGATGGAGGTGACCTATAGAGGATACCTGGCGGTGACAGGGGTACCCCAAGGTGACAGGGTACGCGGGGGCGATGGAGGTGACCCACACGAAGCCGCAGCCGCCCCTCGCTCCCGTGTCCCCGCAGATGGTGCTATCCCCGCGGCCGTGGCACGCGCTGGTGGCCCTGTCGCTCTGCACCCTGCTGTGCTTGGCTGCGCTGGCGGCCGCGTACCCCGCCAAGCCCGAGAGCCCCGGGGACGACGCGTCCCCCGAGGAGATGGCCCGGTACTTCTCGGCCCTTCGCCACTACATCAACCTGGTCACGCGACAGAGGTGAGCGCGAGTGACCGTGAACGCGTGTGGGCGAACCCCGCGGTGCTCGTGCGAGCCCCTTTGCATGCGCGAGTCTCCATTTTCACGCCCGTGTCCGTCCTTGTGCGCCCCCGGGGGCTCCGGCCGTTCCTCCTTTGCACACTCATGCACACCCCCGTGGGGTCCCCGTTGCACACGCGTGTGCCCTGTGTCCCGCAGGTACGGCAAACGCGCCAGCCCCGACGCCGTGGTGACGGAACTGCTCGTGGGGGCCGGCAGTGACAGGTCAAGGTGAGTCTCCCCGTCCCTGTCCCCACCGACCCGCGCACAGGGACAAGGGGCTGCACCGGCCCCCACACCCCGGGGTGGGGGTCCCGGGGTTGTTTGAGGTCCCAGGGGGATTTGGGGGTCTCGTTCCCTCTTTTCTCACATCAGCTCTTCCCGGCAGGTACGACGACGACTCCGCATGGTGACGGCACCCTCCTCCAGTCCCTCTGTCCCCCAAACCCTCCCCATCTCTCCACGTCTCCCCAGGGGACCCAGGGCCAGTGCGGGACCCCCCTCTGGAGGGTCGGGAACCCCCAGATCCCGGCCCGGGGGCGTCCCGCTGTCGGGGGGGGCCCCGACCCCATCCCCTCCCCACCGCTGTTGGGGGGGTCCCGCGTGGTCCCTGCACGCCCCCGTAGCGGCAATAAAGACACGATCGTGGGCACTGCCGGGTTTGCGCTGTGTGTGTGGGGGCGCCAGGGGAATACAGGGGTACAAGGGGGATGGAGAGGTGCAGGGAAGGATAAAGGGATGCAGGGAGGATGCAGAGGGAATGGAGGAGTGCAGGAGGGATGTAGGGGTGCAAGTGGGATGAAGGGGAGGAGGGGAGTGAAGAGGGGATGGAGAGGGGAGGGAATGGAGGGGCGCAGGTGGGATGGAGGGTGTGCAGGAAGGATGAAGGGGGGGGTGCACGAGGGATTCAGGGGTGCAGGGAAGGATGGAGGGATGCTGCGGGGGGGATGCAGTAGGGCTGGAGGGGTGCAGGGGAGGATGGAGGGAGAGGGAGGGGCGGAGGGGTAGAGGGCTATAGGAGGGAAGTGGGAGGAATTGAAGGATGCAGGGGGTATGGACAGGTGCAGAGAGGATGTAGAAGATATGGAGGGGTGCAGGAGGGATGGAGGGGTGCAGGGGGGATGGAGGAGTTGAGGCCAGGTGGAAGGAACAAGGGACAGGACATCCTTGGGTGCAGGGACGGGGGGTGGAAGGGTGGGTAGAGATGGGGGGTGGGAGGGTTGAAAGGGGGAAGTGAATGGCGGAGTGGAAGGGGGTGAGGGGTGGGGGCTTGTGGGAGAGGGGTGGGGAGGGAGAGGTGGAAGTGGGATACACTGGGGCACAGTGGGGTTGGATACTGGGGTGCACTGGGTGTGGGGTAAGGTGGGGGCAGTTCTGGGGGATACACTGTTGATGGGTGTTGGGGTGTACGAGGAAACTGGGTCCCCTGAGGCCGAGCGTGGGGCTGCAAAAGGTAGGGGGTGTGCTGGATGTGGGGGTGTGCTGAGGGGGCTGTGATGGTGCTGGAGCTCATGGGCCACAGGGGGACACTAGTGGTGGGTGCTGGGGTGGAGGTATGGGGTGTGCTGGGTGTGGGGTGCGCTGGGTGTGGGGTGCACCAGCAGTGGGTGCAGAGGTGCACTGGCTGTAGGAGGAATTGGGTGTGGGGTGCACTGGGTGTGGGGTGCACTGGGTGTTGGGGTGTACTGGTAGTGGTGCTGGGGTGTATGGGGTACTGGGGTGCACTGGGTGTGGGGTGCATGGGCAGTGGGTGCTGACACCCACCGTGGAGTCCCCCCGCATAGGGACTGAGGCCATCGGGGCTGTGCCAGGGCTGGGGGTTCCCCGTCCCTCTGACCCCCCACCCGGCCATGGTGGGAGCAGGGGGACAGCCACGTCCTCAGACATGGCCTCAGTGGGGGGTGGCTGTGTCTCCCCTGCCCCGATGCCTCTATCCCTCTGTCCTTCTATCCCACCCCTCACCCCAACATTGCCCACCTTACCCCCTTGGCCCTCCCACCCCCCGTCCATCTGTCTGTCCCTCCAATGTCTCCCTGTCCCACTCCCCATCCATCTGTCCACCCCTCCCACTACTTCCCACCCTTGTACCCCACCAGACGCCCTGTCTGTCCCCCCCTAATCCCTCTGTACCCACAGCTGTCCCTCTGTCCATCCCTAATGCTGGACACTCATGTCCATATCCTGTCCCCCCACGGAAGCCCCCCCAGCCCAGGGTCAAACATTAACCAGTGTTGTGCAGGGGCCACCTGTCCCTGTCACCCCCCACGATGGCCCCTGTCCCCCCCGGCCGAATGGGCACCTGGCCACAGGTGCTGCGTGGCAGGGTGACATCAGGGGGGACAGGGGGATATAAGGACCTGCACAGCAGTGGCAGCAGTGGCACCGAGGAACCAGGGTGTCAGGTGCGTCCCCTCATCCCGCCGTGTCCCCTTGTCCTGCTGTGTCCCTGTGTCCCCACCCGTGGAAGCAGGTGAGTGGGGCCGGAGGGCTGTGGGAAGGTGGGGGTGCAGATGTGAGCAGCGGGTGGGTGTGTGATCAGTAGGGTGTGTAAGGGGCTGGAACGTGTGGAGGTGTGAAACGGGTGTGCACGCCCTTGTGCAAGGCCAGGAGTGGGGGTGAGTGTGCGGGGGTAGGACACGGGGTGGGCATGGGAGTGTGCGGGTATGTGCATGTGGGAGTGTGTGTGTGCGTGTGCACGTGTGTGTGTGTGCGCACGTGTGTATGTGCTTGAGTGTTCACACGTGTATGCACATGTGAGTGAGTACATGAAGCGTGCAGGTGTGTGCGTGTGCACGGTGAGGCAGGCATGCCCTGACATGTGTGTGCTGCATGAGGGGTGGTCTGTGTGGGCGTGTGGAGCAGAGATGGGCGTGTGTGAGTGTGCAAGGGCGGTGCATGCTCTGATATGTGCATGTGCATGTGTGTGCAGCCAGGAAGCGTGCACAAGTGGGTGGTGTGCATGTGTGTGTGCATGTGTGTGCAGCCAGTGCTGTGCCCGTATGTGTGCAGCTGGCTGGCGCGCACACACATGTGCATGTGTGTGTCTGTGTGCATGTGTGTGCAGCCAGGTGACGTGCTCGTGTGTGTGTGTGTGCTGTGCACTGTCCACGTGTGTGTGCAAGCACACAGTGCTGTCCACAGCCACGTGTGTGCTGTGTGCTGAGCACACAATGCTGTGTTTGCACATATGTGCATGCCACGTGCTGTGCACACACGTGTGTGAACACACAGTGCTGTGTTCAAGTGTTGTGTGATCCGTGTGCCGTGCACACACGTGTGCTCACAGCTGCCCTGTCCCCAGCCATGTCTCCCCGCTGGCCGCCGTTGCTGCTGATGGCCTGTGCGCTGGCGCTGCTGCCTCTGCGGCCCCGCGCGGCCCCGGCCCAGCCCACCTACCCCGGCGACGACGCGCCCGTCGAGGACCTGCTGCGCTTCTACAACGACCTGCAGCAGTATCTGAACGTCGTGACACGCCCCCGGTGAGCAGGGCCCGCCTGTCGCGATACGCTCCCGGTCACAACACCCTCCCTGCTGCGACGCGCTCTGTGTCGTGACACGTTCCCCGTCGTGACACACTTCCCTCTGCGACACACTCGCCATTGCAACACGGTGTGCTACCCATTGCAACAGGCTCCCCGCTGCGACACTATGCCTGTCATGACACGCTCCCTATCGTGACACACTCCCCATTGCCACACACTCCCCATCACAACACGCTCCCCATCGTGCCAAAGCTCCTCATCACAACGTGCTTCCTCCCCGTCGTGACTCCCTCCCCGTCACAACACACTCCCCATCATGACACACTCCCTGTCACGACACAGTCCCTATTGCAACACGCTCCCCATCGTGCCCCCCACCCCATCACGGCGTGCCCCCCCCGCTGCCCCTGTAACGTGCCCCCCCCCATTCCAGGTATGGGAAGCGGGCGGGCGGGCGTGTCCTGGGCGAGGAGCCCTTTGGTGCTGCGGGGTGCTAAGTCCCCAGGTAAGGGGGGACCGAGGGGCAGCAGAGTGGGGGGACCCTCCCCCAGTGCCACCCGTGCCTCAATTTCCCCAATGGATGTCATCCTGGGGGTAGAAGGAGGAACACTGGGGTGGGGGGCACAGGGCTGGGGGGATTCAGGGGGTCTCTGCGGTGTGCGCGAGGTGGGGGACACGGGGCCAGGGGGTTCTTTTGGGGACCCTGCAGGGTAGGGGACATGGGGGCCCTGCAGGATAGGGGACATGGGTCCAGGGACATCGAGGGGGCCCTTGGGAAACACAGGACAAGGGGGATAGGGGGGTCCCTGCAGGGTGTTGAGTTGGGAGACATGGGGTTGGGGGAATCCGGGGGGGCCCTGCAGGGCGGGGGACATAGGGCTGAGGGCCCCCCCAGGGTCTCAGGGTGCTGACCCCCCTCTCATTGCAGGAACACTGCTGGGGCCGAGCGAGTGAAGAGGAGCCCGGGGAGTGCGGCCCCTGCCCCTCCACCGCACCCTCGGCCCCCCCAGAGCTGACCCCGCAGGGTCGGGACAGAACCCCCAGCAATAAACCCCCCTGCAGCCACCGCCTGTCCTGCCTCTGCCTGCTGGGGGACACTGGGGGGAGACTGGGAGGAGCTGGGTGGGCCTGGGACACTGTGGGTGCTAGGGACGCTGGGGACGCTGGGGACGCTGGGAACACTGGGGACACTGGGGCACTGGCGCTGGGATCGCTGGGAACACTGGGGACATTGTGGGTGCTGGGGATGCTGGGGACAGAGAGGATGCTGGTGGCACTGGGGGTGCTGAGGATGTGGGACACTGGGCCTGGAGATGCCGGACGTGTTGGGGATGAGGGCACTGGTGGCACTGGGCATGCTGGGGACACGGGACACTGGCACTGGGGACGTTGGGATGCTGACTGTGCTGGGGACACTGTGGACATTGGGGGTGCTGGCACTGGGGACACGCCTCCGCGGCCGTCCCTCTGCCCGTCCCCGTCCCGTCGGTGCCAGTCACTCGTGTCCCGCCGCGCCCGCAGCTCCGCCGCGATGCCGGCGGCCACCCCCGCCTCGGTCACGGGTAAGTGTGCCCCACCCGGCGCTTGCACACGCACACACGGGGGCACACGCGTGTGCAATAACACGCCCCCGTGCACGTGTGCAGGGGCAGCTCCGGGGGGGGGGGCCGTGCTGGGAGGGGGATGGGCTCTGCGCGAGTGGGCTCCTGCCTGTGCGTGTGCGCGGTTGCGTGTGCGCGTGCGGGTGCGGGTGCAGGTGAATGTGCACACGACCGCGGTGCGGCCCCTTTAAATCCGCGCTCCCACCTCCCCACCCCCACTCCCCGCCCCCTTAAAGGGGCCGAGCCCCCGCTGTCCCCCCTCCCCACGCCGCGGGGGACGCTGCGGGGGGCTCCCACGCGTGAGCGGGTGTGCAAGACACTCGGGTGTGCAAGGACGGGTGAGCGGGTACGGGGGAGGTTGCGCACGGGCAGGGGGAAGCACGGGGGGCCCGCGCGGAGTTTGCACGCGAGCGTGAGCGCGCGTGGGGGCGCGCGTGGGCGTGCACGGTGGGGTGCGCGTGTCAGCGCGAGTGCGCGCACACACGTGTGCGCTGAACGAACGCGCAGCGGGGGCCCGCACGGGCGTGTGAGCGCGCACAGGGGGCGTTTGCGCGCGTGGGTGCACACGCGTGAGGTGCGCGTGCACGACCCGTGCCCGCGCGTGTGAGCGCACGCCCGCGCCCACGCCGCCGGGTGCGCAAAAGGCGGCCGGACCGTGCTCAGTGCACACGCGTGTGCAAGGCGGCGAGGATGTGGGGAGGGGAGCGGGGCCGGCGCGGGTGGGGGCCCCACGCGGGGCCGGGGGGTTGGGGGGGGGGGGGCGGCGGTACCCGGATCTGGGGCGGGGGAGCCCGGCCCCGCAGCCATGAGCCGCCCCGGCCGAGGGTCCCCGCCGCCCGCCTCGGCCCCCGCCCGCGACCCCCCGGGACCCCCAGGTACGGGAGGGGGCTGGGGAGAGCGGGAGGTGATGCCACGCGGGGTGGTGATGCCATTCGGGCGGAGTGGCGTGGGGATGGGGCGGTTGGGATGGGGATGAGGTGGGTGCAGGGAGATGGGGATGGCGGGGGGTTTCTCGGGTGGCCCCCCCCGAGGTGTGGGGGGCTGATGGATGAGCCCCTCACCGCCCCCCCGGTTGCTTCGCGATCGTCCCCCACCATTGCAGCGCAGCCGCGCAGCCGCTCCCGCCCCCGCGGCCCCGGATGCGCACCCTCCCATCGCAACCCCCCTTCCCATTCCATCGTACCCCCAGCTGCATCACCCCTCCGTCGCAACCCCTCATTCCATTGCCATCCAATTGCATCACCGCCCCAACTGCATCAAGCTCCCCCTCTCCCCTCCCCAGTTGCATTCCCCTCTGGGAGGCGTTTTACTTTGGGGGCACATCCGTTTGTCCCTCCTGCTGGACGAGGAAGGGGGATTTCCCTGCTCCCATAGGACCTTCGCACGGTGCCCACAATGGCGAGGGGCCCTGGGGCGAGCGGGACAGGAATGGGGGGGGTGGGCGAGCGAGCATCCCCGGCTGCACTTGACTTTTACCCACGTTGCCGCTCTCTCCCTCCTCTCTGTGTCCCCCCGTGTGTGTCCCCCGTGTCCCCACCGTGTCCCCGTGGATGTCCCCCACTCCGTACGTCCCCCGTCTGCCCCCCCAGCCATGCAGCAGGTCCTGGACAACCTGATGGGGCTCCCCGGGTCCCCGGGGGTGGCCGACCTTGACCTCATCTTCCTGCGGGGCATCATGGAGAGCCCCATCGTCCGCTCCCTGGCCAAGGTACCGCGACACGGGGGGCACCGTGCCCCGCCCCGGGACCCCCAGGCTGTGTGGGGAGTGATCCACATGTGTGTGCACGTGTGTGTCGGCATGTCCATGCGTGCAAGCGCGTGTGCATGCAGAGGTGTGTGCTGGTATGTGTGTGTGTGCATGCGGGGAGGTATCTGTGCATACTTGCACATGTGTGTGTACACATGCACATGTATGTGTGCTTGTACATGCGTGCGGATGGATGTGTGCGTGTATGCAGGGAGGGGTCTGTGCATGTTTGCACACGCATGTGTACACCTCCACATGTATGTGTGCTTGCACATGCATGTAGATGGATCCTTGCATGTGTGTGTACATGCATGCGTGTGCACTTGCACATGTGTGCATGCATGGATCTGTGCTTGCACATGTGTGTGCATATGTAGGTGTGTACTCATATGTGTGTGTGTACACCTCCACAGGTATGTGTGCTTGTACATGCATGTGGGTGGGCACTTGCACGTGGGTGGGCACTTGCACATATGTGTGCATAACTTGATGTGTGCTCACAAGTGTGTGTGTGCAGGGAGCTGTCTGTGTGTTTGCACACATGTGTGTACATGTGCACATGTATGTGTGCTTGTACATGCGTGTGGGGGCACTTGCACATGTGTGGCTGCAGGAAGGCGTGCTTGTTTGCACCATAATATGTGTACATGTGCACATGCATGTGTGCTTGTACATGTGTGTGGATGTGCGTGTGCTCACATAAGTGTGCACACAGGGAGGTGCCCATGCGTGTTTGCACATGCGTGTGCAAGTCCACATCTGTGCATGCGTGTCCATACGTGTAGATTTGTGCTTGCATGTGTGTGTGCCTGCAGGGATGTGCCCTTACATGTGTGTGTTTAATCTCCCCCCACAAGGCCCCGGGAGTCCCTAACCCCCTGTTCTTGCCTCGTGTCACAAACTCCCCTGGCCCTGGGGGTCCCCAACTCCCCAGGGGTCCCTGTGTCCCTACCCCCCCCCCAGGGACCTCCAATCCCTGAGGGTCCTGAACCCCCCTGCCCCCCGCTCCAGCCCCCCCGGGGGTCCCTAATCCCCCTGGTCCCCAACTCCCCTGGGGGTTCCTAAACCTCTTGGCCCTTCCAGGTGTCCCTAATCCATCCTTCCCCCAAGGAATCCTTAATCCCCTCTGTCCCAGGTGTCCCTTATCCATCCTTCCCCCAAGGAATCCTTAATCCCTTCTGTCCCAGGAATCCCTAACCCCTCCCAGGGATCCCTAACACCCTATCCCCTCCCGGGGGTTCCTGTCTCCTCGGGGGTCCCTAACCTCCTGACCCTGGGGGTACTGTATTCCCCCCGGGGGTCCCTAAACTCCCTGTGCCCTCCAAGGGTCCCTAATCCTCCCTGCTCCTGGGGGTCCCTAACATCCTGTCCACCCGTAGAAGACCCTGTGCCCTCTCGAGGGTCTCTAAACCTTTCCCCTGGTGTTCTGTAAGCTCCTGAGACCCTGGGGGTCCCTAATCCCCCAAGTCCCTGGGACTCCTAACACCTCTGAGACTTCCCAACCTCTCTGATCCCCTGGGAGTCCCTAACCCCCTGGCCGTTCCCTAACCCCCCTGCCACCTCCGGGGTTCTCCCCGCGGTGCCCCCCAGGCGCACGAGCGGCTGGAGGAGCGGAAGCTGGAGGCAGTTCGCGGGGACAACCTGGCGCTGGTGCAGGAGATCCTGCGGGACATCGGGCGGCTGGCGCGGCCCGACGGGCAGGGGGCGGCGGCCGAGCTGGCCCGGATCCTGCGGGAACCGCACTTCCAGGTGCGTGGGACACGCGTGGGACACTTCTGTGCTGGGGGGTGTGGGACAAGTGTGTGCTGGGGGTGTGACACAGGTGGGATCCCCCTCCTGTGCTAGATCCCCCTCCTGTCCTGTGTGACACGTGTGTGTGCTGGGGGAGTGTGACAAACGTGTGTGCTGGGGGAGTGTGACACAACGTGCACCAGGTGTGTAGTACACAGGCGTGACCCCCCCCTCCTGTACCTGGGGGGTGTGACACATATGTGTGTGACACATACATGTGTCAGGTGTGTGGGACACAGGTGTGACCCCCTCCTGTGCCGGGGGTGTGTGACACGTGTGTGCTGGGGTGTGTGACGTGCGCATGGTGTGTGGGACACAGCTGTGACCCCTCTCCTGTGTGTCCCAGTCGCTGCTGGAGACCCATGACTCGGTGGCTGCTAAGAGCTATGACCCCCCCCCAAGCAGCCCTGGCCCAGAGCCCCCCCTGGGGTCTCAACCCGTGCCCCCCGATGCCGTGCGCATGGTGGGCATCCGCAAGGCAGTCGGGGAGAACCTGGTGAGCCCAGCTGGGGGGGCTGGGGAGTCCTGGGGGCATTGGGGGGTGCTGGGACATTTTGGGGTGCTGAGAGTGCTACGGGGTGCTGGGGTACTGGGGGGTGCTGTGGGGTGTTGGAGCAATGCAGGGTGTGGGGATATTGGGAGCATTTTGGGGTGCTGGGGACATTGTGGAGTATTGGAGACATTGCTGGGATGCTGGGGGCATTGCAGAGTGCTGAGGGTCATTTTGGGCTGCTTGGGGACATTTTGGGGTTCTTGGAGGTGTTGTGGGGTGCTGGGGACATTGCTGGGGTGCTGGGGGCATTGCAGAGTGCTGAGGGTCACTTTGGGGACATTTTGGAGTTCTTGGGGGCATTTCAGGGTGCTGAGGACA